ATATATATATATATATATAAAGCTGGAGAGGGAAAAAGGAAGATATATTTCCTCCACCTAGAGACAATAAAAAATTTAGAAAAGACAGACACCCTACAAACAAGCGTATAAATGAAGCAAGCCTTCCCCAGGAAAAAGAATAATGATCACAGAACCTCTGCCTGAGGCAAACACTCAAAAAGACTCTTCCAAACTATTGGAAGAATTGTCTTTCTTATCTCCCTCTGGAAAGTGTTCCACCATATCAATAAGACGACCAAGCTTTCTCCATTCCACTGACAGTACCATCGCTCGTACAAAGACATCAAGCAGCGATCTCATTGTCGACTTAGTAATCATCGCTTTAACCAAGGCGAAATTACGAGAAGAAAGATAATTTAATTCCTCGTAGGATAAGCGATAAGGACAAACAATATGTAACAAAAGATCCAATTCCAGAGCCCACACTATCCTCAACTTCAAAGTCTCAGGGGATCAACATACTAGCAAACAACCTCTTTTCATTCCCTCATCCTTCTCGTGAAGCATTGCAAGCGTCCAATCGAAGGGCCAAGGGAATCAGGAAACTAAGGGTCTGTTTGGGGCAGCTGCAGCTTATTCAGATTATCCTGATAATCTGGTGATGAGTAGTTGATCTGGAAAATTTGTTTGTCTGTTTGGTTTGTGAGTTTTGAGAACAGCTGATTCTGAATAAATGACCAAAATGCCCCCGTCCTGGATAAACCTTATTGCACATCGTTGTGTCCACCGAAAAGTATAAACTGGAGCAGAGGAGCGGCAGAGGAGCAAGGAGAAGAAAAAACAAAGGTTACCTGTGAGAAAGATTGTCGGAGATGGAGAGATACAAGGATCGATTGTCGGAGGGAGACGCGGATCGCTGTGCGGAGTCGGCGACGATGTCTCCGCTTGCTGCGAACTTTAGGACAGAAGAAGGAAGCCGTGAAGAGGACCTCGATGTCTCGTCGATATCGCTTGCAACGAGCTACGCTAGGGCAGACGAAAAGGAGGGGAGGATGTCGCGGATTGCGGCGGCAGACGAAAGAGAGGGGAGGATTTCGCGGATCGCGGAGAGGCAGAGGAAAGAGGGCATATAGTTGTCTTTCGACACTATTAAACGCGGATCGCGGGGCACGATCCCCGTCTAATACAAAAATGAAAATTGAGTTTTCTAATAAGCCCTGCAAACGCGATTTTCAAACAGACAGTGACGTTTTGAAAACGCCACTGTTGCAAATAAGCTGTCCCAAATGCAGCCTAAATGTATATTCGAATATCGGGTCACAGACCCAGGCCTTCTTACTTAAAGAATCGAAACCAGTCCCTCTTTATTATCATTATTTTTTAATAGATCCGCTCACCAAAAAGGCCACATCATCTTCAATCGTCTGAAGTGCTCTGATCCAGCTGGAAGTAACGTCTGATCAATAATAAATACATTCAACAATTTTCGATGCAAAACTGGTTGCTCGAGACAAAGGACACTCATCACATCACCGACATTGAGTTGTCCCCATGGCAGAAGTTTTATCCTCAATTAAATCCCTTCTCCCATGTTGAGGTGGGGAGAGAGGGGATTCTTTTGATTCCACCCGAGAACCACCCAAGAAAAGGGGAGCTCTCTGAAAAAATGGACTCTCTTTCTGTTTTAGGATTTCTGGATCTTATACCAGGTTGTGTGGTATCACGAACAATACGGGATCCTACATCCCAAAAAATAATTCAACAACTAGCTTGTTAATAGCCCACTATATTTTAAAGTAATAATTTCACGTTTAAATTTTCAGTTACAAAATGAGTGAAAGAATGGATAATGTATATACTATATAGATCAAGTGGTCAACATAGAGAAAGTAAGTACATTTATAATTGTTTATTTTAAGTTAATTTAAATTTATTTTGGTACTGGCTCTATTAATTTATTAAATCATCATTAAGTAAGATGGTAACTGAAAAATTTATTTTTTCATCAAATAGTTTGTCCACTCCGAGCCAGGTCATGACATTGTCAAAGAAACCTAGCACCAACCATGTGCTAGCATGCTAATAGAGCCCTGTATCCTGGAATGTTGCCTAGTCATGATTTTCATCAAGGATTTCAAAATACAAGCATCCTTCTAGAAATCATGGTTTCTTTAAAAAAAATCCATATTGCAATAGATTATGTGTTAATCAAAATGAAATTTTATGGGACTTAAGAATAACACAGTAATAAGATTAATTTTTACCACAAAACAAGATGGCATATGAATTCATTCAAAAATAGGTTACATGTAACAAAGCGCTAACGCATGAGAAAGTATCGGAATAGTTCAAATATCAAATATGTGACAAATATGCTGATATTGAAAACTGAGCAGTAAAGTTTTCACTAATAAGTTTAAGGTTTTGGTTTAAAATACCCTTAACCTTTAGCTTGTTTACCCAATTTTGGTCCCTTTAATTCATTAAACATCGACCATCTAATGATTAGATTAGAAGAATAGATGTTTTAGATTCGACTTATGTTAAGAAATGCAGAGGTAGACCTAGGATAAATTGGGCTTATTGTATAAAAATTGATTTGAATTTATTAGAGTTAAATGAAAATATGACACTAAATAGGACGCAATAGATAAAAAGGATTCATGTAGCCGACCCCACTTAGTGGGATAAAGGTTTTGTTGTTGTTGTTGTAATTCATGATAATTAATGGTATAAAAACCCAAGCTTCAAATGGAATTTAGTAGGCTCGTGTGGTTAGAATCTCTCATGAGTTTTGGCTCCTATCATGATTGAGCAAGGTTCAAGAGAAAGTAAATCAGCAATAGATTCCCAATAGTTAAGTGGACTCTTGGTGCATAATGCTCATTGAGCCCAAAAAACTTTGTTTGAGAAGGCATGATAGTCAATATTAGAGCTCACAGATGAGAGGAAGATTGTTAAATAACATGGGTGTAATGAGTTTAGTTTCACATTAGATAGAAGAAAAACCTAGTTTGTAGAAATATGCAGTTGGCTCTCAATCACAGGCATAAGGATTTAGATTGAAAATGACTTTGATCATGAGTGTATCTGGCCTGACTTTCATTATCCAGTTTGATTCACATTCCCTAAGATACAAGAGGAATGGACCAAAGAAAGATCACAGAAGGCTTTAACAAAACTGACCTGCCAACTAGATGATTTTTTGTCCTTTGATGGGGATTCACTAGCACAGTTATCTTTCCCGACAGTATAATTCAGTGTGGAAATGTAGAACAGCAGCTCTCCCAATGCAGCCATAGAGAACCTCCTCACTTTGTCTTGTTTATCCCTTAAGCCATGGACGAGAGCATCGATAATACCAGAACTAGCCAACTCAGTTTCAATGTAAGTGGAGTGGCGAATAAATAAACCTACCACCGAAGCAATCTGCACACGGAGGACGGAGGACTTCGGATGTCTCAGCATCTTTACAAGTGACGGCATTATTGCCCCGTTCATTATTAGGTTAGCCGCATCAGAATTTGAACTTAATATTTCTAAGTATCTGATAACTTTCTCTGAAATTTGAGGGCTCCCACTGAGACCATGAATTATTTGAGTATTAAGCGCGCTTAGCTGTTCAGGCAGCAACTTAACGTACTCAGATGATGTTACAGCACCAAAAGGAAGAGACGGGATTGCATCTGAAGTTTTGCTGCTCTTGCGGCTGGGCATCACAGGTTTGACTGAGTGGTCTGTCGGATGCCAAAATACTTGAAAGATATTACTAGATATTCTAGATGACTCTGTATCGGGGTCAGCTTCAGAAGCTGCTCTAGACCGATGACCGGTTCTTTGAAGATAGACGGTAGAAGGAGTAGCACCAATTTCATTTTTTTCAGAATGAGCATCTTTCTCAGGTTTCTTTGAGCCTTCAGGCATCACATGACCATCACTAGCTGCAGCTTGTTGGCTTATGTCATTCTCTGTTGCTACAGTATCCGGAATGGAATTATCTATGGTAGGTTTTTCACTGAGACAAATAGCAGGACTCTCTGAAGCATCAGTTTCATCAGACGGATCATCCTCCGGGATTTCACTAAAATCAAGTTCCATGTCAGTGTTGTCAATCTTCACATCAGCATTATTTTCACATTCTCTAGCAAGAGGAATCCTGTAGTTTTCCTTTTCATTCTCTCTTTGAAGGTTCATTTTGGCCAACCTTGAAAGTCTAAGAATATTGACATCCTTTCCAGAATGTTCGACCACTTTTCGCTTATCTTCAATAACTGCATCAGCAGCTTTAGCTTGGACTTTCCGAGTGAAGTTAGCATTTTTAGGAGGTGTCTCAAATATCTTTTTCCTTCTAGAAGAACTTCCATCACTTGCATTGCTTTCTCGGCCTTTTGTAGGTGTGCTTTGTTGCGAAGGTCTTTCACCATTTCTTTCAGTAAGCAATGGTTTAGCAAATAAATGAAGCATGTTACTGAAAGCAGGTTGAGGAGGTAGAAAAACAGAAGTGAACTTCGTTCGCCAAAACCTATGTTCGCAAAGTTCAGCCCAGTTTAACCTTTCTGCTGGATTTTTAATTAGCAAACTATTAACCAAATCCACAAAAGCATTTGACGGGTTATTGGGAAGGTCTGGAGTAGAATCTAAGAGAATGGATTTTGCTAACTTTGTAAATTCATTTCCTATGAAAGGAGGCCTTCCAGCAAAGCACTCATACAAAACACAACCTAGCGCCCAGAAATCAGATGCATAAGAATTCACTCCCCCATCCTTAAATAGCTCTGGAGCCATATAGCAAGGTGTGCCTCGCTTGACCTGTAGCACCAAATTACAAAATACAAATTCTTTAACAACATCAGGAACACTTCACGTAAATGTTGTGCATAATCTAGAATTTGTCAACTGTATAGTCAATGTGAATAGAAACCAACCATGTCATGAGAATTCTTCTCTATTTCACTTAGCCTTGTTGCCAAACCAAAATCACAAAGCTGCAATTGAGATGAGGCAACAGAATACAATATTAAATAATTGCCAATTTCACGCTGAAAATAAAAAATTATCATATGATCAAGTCAAAAAAGAGAAAAACACCTTCATATGTCCATTCTCATCTAGTAAAATGTTTGATGGCTTTAAATCGCAGTAAATTATTCCTTTTGAGTGAAGAAACCTAAAAATGGTTATGTTCGATATGAACAACATTAGCAAATATGAAGTCATAACAAAAACAAACAGTTATAATAGCATGTTTGAAGGCATGATAGGAATTACTGTAGAGCCTTGACGATATCATGAGCTAAGTCATGTATTGAGTCTTCGGGAAGTCGCCCATCCTTAGAAAAAAAAAGCTCCTCCAGTTATTATTGTTGCATTGTGTTGTTTAAATGATAATAACAACTATGGTAAGCCTAACATAAATTAGTTCAAGTGCACACGAATAAAAATACAGTGAATGTTACTAACTGCACGAGACAGAAAGTCCAATATATATAGAAAGAAAAAAAAACTCTAAATCAAGCACTGTGCATGCTCAAACCTTATGTGTCGCCCAAACATAAGTCCAATATATAGAAAGGGAATGAAAAGCGAGAAGTGGTTAATATAAATGCTAGCTTAAAGATAAGAACATAGTGAAAAAGCCTCAAACGAGCCAGAAATTTACAAATGAGACAGTACGTAAATATTGCACCTCTAAAGCTAGCAACTATTCAGCAGAAAGGCAAACCTTTCAAACTCCGAAAAAAGCAATACAATTAAAAGTTAAAAATCTCGTCAGAAGTTCTGAGAGGTGTATCATTGTTTTCAGCCTTTGGGGATGTTATTGGGAGTGAAGTATTTGTTAAATTTCATGGGTTTGGCCCATTAGTGATGGAAAGATGACAAACCAGAAAATAAGGGAATAAGAATCCAAAAAACATGCAGCTGTGCATGTGAAATAAATGTGAGAAACAATACAATGATGATGGTGATGATTGAGACTCACACCGTCAGCTTCCCTTTCAAAAGCTTGTTCTATAAACTTAAAACAAATTAATTCGTCCATACTCCCAACATCATTATTTTAAGAATCCTAAAGCTCCTAAAATTTATTTCCATAAAAATGTGTGAATTTTTTTTTTAGAGAGGTAAGTAACTTTTACATGGTTTCATTTTTAAGTGTTGAAGTTTGGTTTTACTTTCAATATGACCGCTGCAATGCAATAATTTATCATTACAAAGCAAACTAAAATACAAGCATTTCCGTGATTCAATAAAGTACTTTTACACAACTTCTAAAAAAAAGAGCAAGATTTAAGTTCTTATGTATTGCATTGCTGCTTCAAATTTTTAATTTTATTTTCAAATAAAAAGGGAAAGAACTTTGGGGACCATTTAAAAGGATTTATAAAGCAAATATGAAACTATAGTCACAATTTGCCAAAGCCTTAAGGGAAAAGTTGATAAGGTTGAATAATATGGCCCCTGAAACCTAGAAAAGTTAATCGCTAAAATCACAGGAGAAGAAAAATCGTTGATTGATATAGTTCTAGAATCTCACTCTGAGGAAATGCTAATTATTGAAATAATTGGGACTGCCTCTAGTCGTTGCATCTTGGTTTTGCTTTTATGGATGAATTCATACAGATATAATGAATGTTAAAGTTGATTCATATTGTTTAAATGCAAGTTAATTGAAAAGTGAAATACTAGCTCACAGAGGACGTCAAGGAATTTCTTATTTTGGACCTTTTATGACCCACAAACTTTCAGTTTATTCAATTTTTGTGCATGTCTAGTTGTATTTCCTTAGAGCGCCTCACGTGTTTTGATGATTACATTCTAGGACGAGTCTCCTTGCCAACATAAGATGTGAATCTTATTTTTGGGTGAATTTTATGATGTGAAATCTTCTTTTTGGATGACTTTCATAATTATATATACTAATAATTTATTAAGTGGCCAAGGTGTACGTAGTGATTAGAATCTTATCAAATGTGATGCATGTTGGATTCCATATTGTCGTGGGAATATTGACGGTTACTGAAATAGTTTGTATATTAATATTAATATTTGAATAAAAGATTTGTGTTTGTTGGATTTACATTACAAGAGGCCAATTGCAAAAGTTAATAGTTGATAAGCTATGATTTTGTTTTTGAGTATGCATCCTATCTAAGATTGTCGTATTACATCTTAGATTCTAAACCATCCTAAATCATTTTAGATAATATTTGTTTCATTCATACGTTATGAGTGAAGACTGACTGGGTGAGAAGCGGGACAGAGCACCCGGCGCCTATGCACTGGGTTGTGGGCGCTTAAGCGCCCACTTGGGTGCTGCTTAAACTGAGAAGCTGAGGTCTATGGGCCTATTTTGAGCGCATATATGCCCATAAAGGCGTCTATTTCCCAAAAACTTGGCGCATAGGCGCCAAGTTCAGGCGCCTATGTGTTAGGAGCAGTTTGTGTCGATAATTGGTTTTTTATCTCGATTTTGAGCGACGCAATGAAGGGTTTGGTGTATCTTCTCTTAGTATTCTTCGATAAGCATTCTGGTGAAGGAGAGGAGTGTCAAAGAGGCGGATTTTGGTGACTCGACATGATTTTTTAGTTAAACAAGAGATAAAAGATTATAGAGCAAGTCCTGTAAGTTTTATGTATGTGTGGAGAGAAAACTTGTGTGAGCTCTTCGTAAAACCTTCTGAATTTCATTTTGAAAATTTCTGGTAGTGTCTCCATGATTTTTTTCCGTTTCAGGTTTTTCCACGTAAATTCTCGTGTGTTTTTTGTTGCTTTGATTGTGCTTATATTTTAATATTTGTTCTGTTTTTATGGAATTGGTATGATCCCATTATTTTGCAGTGTAGTTTAATTTCTCATTGATCCTAAGCCCTGGTAAAGTTGGGAATTGTTCGTTTTGTGATTCTTATAAACTGGTATCAGAGCGGGGTTTGTTTCGAGTAAGAGCAGTGACCGAAGAAACAAGTTCAAGATGGAGAAGTTCAATGAGATGAACTTCGCATTCTGGAAGATGCATGTGGGATATTTGTTGTATCAAAAAAAACTATACTTGTCACTACAAGCAATCACAAAGAAGCCTTAATCTATGTCTATAGAGGAATGGGAAGTGTTGGATCAAACGACATTGGGTTTGATCAAGTTGACACTTTCCTCATATGTTGCGTTCAAACTTGTGAATGAGAAACTCTGGTGGATCTCACGGTGGCACTGGTCAAAATGTATGAAAAACATTCTGCTTCCAATAAAATTTTTCTGATAAAGAAATTATTCAATATGAAGATGATAGAAGGTAGTTCAGTGGCAGAGCATCTCAATAACTTCAACACTGTGAAGAGTCAGTTGTGTTCCATGGGGATCAAGTTTGATCAAGATATCAGAGTGTTGATGATACTATGTTCAATATCGGATAGTTGGAATGGTTTGGTAACGACGGTGAGTAATTCTTCAGAGACTTCAAAGTTGAACTTTTATGACATCGTGGGTCTGATGTTAAATGGAAAAATTCGAAGAAAAGCTACAAATGATGAATTTTCAGGTTCGGTGTTGGATGTTGATCACAAGGGAAGAAATCTGAGCAGGAATACAGGCAGAGGCAGAGGCAGAGGCAGATCCAAGTCCAAAAAAAGAAAGTCCAAGTCAAGCGGAGGATAATATTGGAACTGCGGCGAGAGGAGTGTTTCAAGAACAGTAAAGCTCCAAGAAAAGCTAGTTATGGAGGAAGGAAAGTAGTTACTCTGCTAATGTCTCCACTGGTAAAATCCAAAATGACTCCCTACTTTTATCCATAGTTAATGAATCCTAGAAAGTGGATTCAGGTGTTGCTTTTCAAGTTTTCCCCAATACATAGGTATTTAAAAATTACACTCAGAGTGATCTAGGAAAGATTTATTTAGAAGAAAATAAGGTCTGCAGTATAGTAGGAAATGGTGATGTTGAAATCAAGTTGTCGAATGGAATAGTCTTGAAGCTTACAGAAGAATCCAGATATGTGGACATAGATGATACTGGTGATCAGGAAGATGGAGACATAACAAGTGCTCAACTAGAAGGAGCACTGGAAGTTCCTCAATCACCTGCTACAAAAGTTAAAAAATACAGCAGAGTGGCACGACACGTACACAGATATTCTCCTTCTTTACACTATTTGTTACTAAATGATAGTAGTGAACCAGAGTGCAATGAGAAGGCCACTCAAGTTGAAGATTTAAGGGAGTGGGTGCTTACCATGGATGAAGAAATGCAATCTTTGTAGTTAAATTAGAGTTTGAATTTGATGGTTCAATCAAATGGCAAAAGAGAGATACTTTAAAATATTGGTTTTTTTTCTTTTAATTTTTTTTTATTTTCTGTTAAACATATTTTCTTTCACTTTTTTTATACTGATTTTTTCACTTGTTTCATTTTTCTTGTTTGTTGCTTTTATTGTCTTTGTAAATGATTTTATTTTCCATTTGTTTCAAATATTCTTTTATATTCATATGGGGTTTAGGGTTTTTTTTTTTAATTATGTATTGATAGTCTATGTCATATTTATGTATTATCTTTAAATTTATAATTTTTTTATATTGTTCAAGGTCTACGTCGCAATCCAATTTTAAGGCTTATGCCTTTCCTTCATAAAAAGAAATGTCTGTTTTTTATTTAGGCTTTTAAAAATTGGTAGTTTACAAATGAAGAGAAGAAAAAAAACCAAAACAAAGGACATTCATCAAATTGGCATCAAGGACAACCTTCGCTACATCAATGGATATCAATAAAAACATATTATAAACGTAACAATGAATAAACTATTGACATAGTAATTAAATTCAAAGACAATCCTAAAGAATAGCATCTTAAGCCAATGCCCCAGATAACAAAATTATATTAAAAAATGGGGAAAATTTAGCATTTTAAGCTTACGCAGATACAAATTATATATGTTCTATTGCTGACTGAAGGTCAATTTCAGGATATTAAACTATTTAATGGCAACTACATAACTCAGATAAGTAAAAGGAAAAATGTGATAAAAATCATCCTGAATAATTTAATAATTAAATAAAAAGAACCCATAAGCATCTATGAAAATCTAGTGAAAATTCTGAGAAAGATTTCTATTTCTTACTCAAAAATGAATTACACCCTACTATACATAACAGTGATTGGCATACCCATCCACAAATTAGGAAATCGAAATTCCTTTAAATTAGTAATCCAATAAAATTAAGAAATCAGCAAAAAATTGGAACTATATAATAAAGGAAAATAATAAAGATTAAAAGATATTTTGAGTGAAAAAAATAAAATCCTCCTTAATAAAGTATATAGATTGGTCAATTTTGAACAATGCCCTTATATTAGATTATATATATTATACAAATCAAACTTGAAATTCAATTTTGTGATCTGCTCGAATAGTTAGGATGGAGTTTTATGGGTTGAGTGAAAGAGAAGAACGATAAACGGCTACAATTTGGTCGAGGGTAAGAGACGAAGGACGGAACAAAGCATTTTAGTCGAGCAAAAAGGTAGAACAAAAGAGCACTGTGATCTCAAGCATATGCAAGGAGATGACACAATGGCCCATGTCACCCATGTGTATAAGAGGAGACGGCTTGTGCGTTGAAAACAACACCAGAGCAATTTATAGATCCATCGTAGTTCACAGTGATGAGGAAGCATCGGGCTGCCCATTTTTGTGCGCAAATGGCTCTTTTACATAGTTTTTCTTTTGATACGGTCCTTGAATCGTCAGAACCTTTTGCCATTCTCTATGAAAATAGGGTGTTGTTTGCACAGGGCGGAGGACCTGCTTTTTGTACTTTTTTGTACTTCTTTTTATCTTTAATGCAATATGCACCTTTCAAGGATGCAGCCGTCACTAGAGACGCGAAGGACGCCTCGGCACTTCTTCAACCTGAGAGATTTAGAGGATGATTGAGATGGAGAACCGGCCTCTGATGCGAACTGAAGATTGTTTGAGCTGTGATACTATGTGAAAAGATTGAGAAAGTTTTTTCTTACTCGATAATGAATTACATCAAGCTATAAATAATAGATTAGCTGGCATACCAGCCCACAAATTAGGAAACTGGAATTTCTTTAAATTAGGAATCCCATAAAATTAGGAAACCAGGAAAACTAAGAAATGTCACATGAAGGAAATAAATGAATATTAAAATATATTTTGAGTGAAGAAAATAAAATCCTTCCTAATTAAGTTTATAGGTCAATTACATCCAACATGCTCTATTATCATGCCAATTCAGTCATTAATATTGCAAAAAGAACTCATTCAATAAGAATGTACAAAGCATATTGAAGTTGATAGATACTTTGTAAAAGGATTATCGGAAGCAATCTTTCAAAAGTTATCATGCATACTTGGAATGGAAGATATCCACTCATTTTCTTGAGGAAGAGTATAAAATTATTGCATAATTTTCACCAACTAAGAATTGTACTCATCAAGACTAATGCCCTATTTCTTTTTTTCTTTTGATTCTACCTCATTCACGGGATTCCTACAGTCGACTCATCAATCCACAGACAATTATAATTATTTTCAAATTATATTCCTTAATTTGATAGTTTTATCTATTAGATGCTTTCCAAGTATCTTATAAATTTTGTACATGTTGAAATAAAATATACTAAATAAATTATCTCCACTTATTATTAGACGCAATAAAATTTTTAATATCTAAATATTAATGAAGCATGAGATCCACCATGTCCATAATTAATTAATAGTAAATAAAAAGTCTACCACAAATCAAATTTTAATACAATTGTTGATGTCATAACTTAATGAAAATAATTCATTAAGGGCCCGTTTGAGGCAGTTTATTTGGTGCAGTGGCGTTTTGAAAACACACCTGACTTATTTGGGTAAACTGAAATTTGGCAGCTTGTGCGTTTTCAAAATGCTAAAACCAGTTTTTCACACCGCACATATCTAATTGCGGTGACAGCTTTTTGGCAAAGGTATGACTTTTCCAAAAAAATAATAATTTGTAATAGTCAGCGCACCTAGATTATCACAAGATTATTTTTAATCAGCTTATCAGCAGATTATTCAATAAGCTACAGCTATCGCAAATAGACCCTAAGACTAGCCTCTACATTAATAATACGTTTAGAGCTTTTGGCATACTAATTGATCAAAACATTCAATATGCACGAGTGATTTGCATTTATGTAATTTGAGATAAAATTATAGAACAAAATTGATTTTGATACACCATCCTATAAATACCAGCTAATTTTTTGTTTGATAGAACAATTAATTATATGATATCTCATTTTCGTCACCCTTAATTCCTAGTTTACATTCAAGTTCATTGTTATCATCATCATAAACCTCATCACTACTATTTAGTGTCAACTATATGAATCCTAATCTATGCATTCTTCTTGAGTGCATAATATGACAAATATGTCAAATCTACTAATCTATTTTTTTTTGCACAACTCTTACCCAATTTACCTAGACCCTGCTCATTTTTCTTCTAAAATTCTCACCTTGATTATATCCACTCATCATATTGTAGGATTTCTTGTATTCGATTATACGGGCAGAAACCACCACTATTTCTCAGCTGCATTATATTCAAACGAGTGCTACTTTTAATGCCACTCTAATAAGTTTATTTCTCAATTTATCCATCATATTTTTATAATACACCCATCTAAATATTCCAATTTTAACAGCACTTAGACTAAAAGAGAATTTCTTGACCCAATATGCAATTCCATACAACATGACCAGTTTAATTGCAGCTTCACAAAATATATCTATAAATATTGACAATACTCTTTTATCGCACAAAATTATTGTAGCAATCCTCCAATTTTAGACAAGATTCTTAAATAAACAAAACAGCCTTAAATTTAGTTGAAGGTTTTAACTCAGTTTCAAAAGTGTGCGATGATTAAAAACAGAAAGCAAGAAAGTTCGCATGCAATCTAGAAAAACCAAGTAATTAAATGGACAAATTAACTTCAGCCGCATACCTCCTTCAGTAAACTCATGAGATCTCTACCAACGCAGTATTCCAGTATCAACCAAAGGTGAGCCGAGCTTTCATACCTGAAGCAAAGCCATCCAAAGAAAACTTGTAAATGCTTAATTCAAAGGTCACAATACAGAACACAAAAATGCTGGAACTCTCAGCCTAAATAATTTCTCACCAAGAATAGAATTTTAAAATATTTGGATGGTCCAAATCATGAAACATCTTCACCTATAGACAACATAGAAAAACTGATTAGAATAAAAAATAAAAAATAAATAAATAAAGTAAATCAGAAGAACGCTTTTCATAGATAAATTCGTCCCCAGATATATTTCCTTAATCCATGTTTCATTCCACAACCTACGTTTTGACGATTCATCCAAGCAAGTTTAGACTGTATTCCCTCCCCGCGTTATTCTTTACAATGTTTGAAACACAAAACGCAAATAAAATAATCATAATAAACCTAATCAAGTTGCAATTAGAAAATTTGCTCACTTCATGGAGGATCTTCGACCTCTGTGATTTGTCGACGCTTTTGATGGCATAATACTCAATCGATTTCTTCATTCTTCCCTTATAAACAGTCTTATGATCATACATTTCAATTTGAGCAAGGATCAGTTGTCTGAAAGAAACCCTAGGACAAAATCAAAGATTAAGGCAGAGAGGGAGATAGTAAGAAGCTCACAGAGTGCTTGCCGCGGCCGATGGCCTCGTATACATGGTAGTTGTTCATGGTGACCGCTAGGACAGCTTTCTCCTCTGCCGATTCAAATCCAATCCCCCATTTTCGCCGCTCGAGTGAAGTGTGGAAGGAACGAGATTTTGTTCTTTTCAGCGTGGGCGGGAAATTGAAACCAGGCTACCGGATGAACCGGGCTGGTTCTAGTTGAGCCGGCCCTATTTGATGGGAGTCAGATTTTGTTGGTTGAGGATTCTTCAAATTATTGTCTTTCTCTCTAAGTTGAATTTGAGCTCACTCAAATTTGAATAATATGTGAGAAATTTGATCATATTTCATTTTTACATAGAAACTTAATTATTTTTTAGTATGTCATAAATCTAACTTGAACTCAAAATGGTGATTTGATTTTTGGTTAAGTCAAAATTACAACAATTTTGTATGGACTTTCAATTAATATTCCCAGCTAGAATTGTATGGACCCTTCGCATCTTTAAACTTTTTTAGGTTTTGGTATGAATTTTAAGTTGGATCTCTGGTCTACTTAACCCATGCCTATAATTATTCAGGAAATATACATACATATCACTTCAAATATTTGAATTTATATATCCAACATTCAAACTTACATATTTATATTTATAGCACCTCAAACTCAATAATATATCAGATATATCATTTTTAGTTTACTCATGGTATTTTCTTCCATCCCCAACACATGCTTGATAGTTTTCAACAACAAAATCAACTATGTAATAGTCCTTGGTAGAGGGCACATCTGAGCCGCTTCCATTGATATTTGTTAGCTTAAGCAGTGTATCATGACCTCTGAGAATATTTTTCAATGACAAATGGGCATTTCCAAGTAGAGCATCATCCTCCGCACAAAACCATAATTCTCACACTTGTTAGCCAGTTGATCGAATATTTATATTAAAATCCTTTCTTTTATCGTTTTGTCTTGATTTTTCACATCATAAATTGATATTTTTTCAAGTTAGGAAGAGGGTGGAGATAATCTTCATATTAGAGCTATTTAGCAGCTAAAACCATCAAAATTTAAGGAAAAACAATAATGACACTAATGGAAATGGTGGCAACTAAAGATATTTGATACCAGCTTGATCTACCATCATTTTATCCCACTTAACAGCCTCAAATCATCCATGGCAAGACTTCACAAGGTGGTTCACTCTGGCGATATCAAATCCATTGACAGTAACAATAACTACAAACCTCAGTGTGTTCTTTACAACATAATCCTCTCCCTCATGTGATGAGAACCCAATTGATTCCCCCATTAAAGCTTCTTAATTATTAGGTTGTTGACTTTGCCATTTAACATCCACCTTTGTTTTTCCATATTCTAATTCATCTTTAACTTCCATGATGCAAGTGTGGAGCTCAAGGAGGTCAAAGAGATGTTCGAGTTAATAAAGAAGGCATGGTTTATGCTTGGTATTGACAAGATAGCACTTAACGTATACTTGACCTGGACTATGTCTACAATTTGTAATGATTTAGAAGTGTGATTAGGACCTATTTAGTGGAACATTGATTAAGCTTAGAAAATTTGTCTTGAATACCTAGAAAAGATGCATAATTTCTTGAAGTCGTTACTTGTTAATGTTGCAAATGTTAATGTGAGCTGAGAGGAAAGTATTAAATCACCACACTCCACTCTAATGGTAATGCTTTGTTATTCTCATTGAGAAGGTTCTCTCATTGGCTCTCTCCACTGCTAAGATCATGCATGAAAATCAATGAAGATCGACTAGTTAAGATTGCAATGTTGAAGCCAACGACTCTTCAATACCCCATAAGTTTTCTCTCACGAGCACATTCATTAAGGTTTGTCGCTTTATTAAAAACATTACACATAGCGAGAAAAAAATTGTGGGAGTGTTAGCTTTGCATGGAAGTTCACAAAAGTTGGGGGCATAGGATAAAAGAGGATAATTGAAGTGTTGAACTCATTTTAAATGAGATCGACACATCTTAATCTCTAGCCTATTCTTATATTTTAGGATCCATGATTATGAATTCTCTTAATTGACTTCCCTGAAGATTAGTTTATGACTAAACCCCAATTTATAACCAAAGACATATCTCCCCTCTTTGGTTCAAGATGAACTCAATTTTATCATTAATTCATTCAATTAAAGTTAAGACAAGCATGGTTAGGTCAATAGGAACTAGAAACCAAATCCTCTTCTAGGACCAAACTATTCTTATGCTGCCCTTGAGATCATTGAACCCTATAATCAAATTTAATGCTTTAGGAGCCCTCCTAAGAGCTCTTGGAGCCATTTTTTACACATCCCATGTGCCATATTAATTAAGCTAACCTATTTAACTTAAACTACCCTCAATCACTTTATGGGACCCCCCAATCAAGCCAAATTCTCTTGCTCAATGCTTTAGTTTCAAATGAACACAACTAACTTTTTAGTTATTACAAATTTAACCCACTTACCACGACCCACCTGATGATCTCATTTTTTGTGAGGTCTAGTTTTTCTCTTAGAGATTAGGATCTAGCCATAGGGTTTTTTTTCTATTGATTATCCTAGAGGAAATTTGAGCCTCCTCTTGCTCTTTCATAAAGTCTCACATGGGTGGTCTCAAGCCCTTAGCACTTGGTTGAGAGGGCTAAGATCAACATGATGAAGTTCAATAAAGAATTCCCGTAGGACCATGAGGCCCTAGGAAAACCCCTAGGTGACTTGGCCACTCCATCACTCACCCCATATACCTCTCACTAACATGTCTCACCCAATTACCCAATTCTCCACCAAAATTTCCTAACCTCTCCCAGATTATCAAATTTATCCAAAATTTCTCAAACTACCAAAATTTCTTCAAATTCCCAAAAACTGTCCCAATTACCCAAATCACTAAAATTTCCATACCAAATCACCAAAATTACTCATTATTATAATTTTCAGCAAAATTCCCAAAATCACTAAATTGACCCACCTTCCACCAAAATTTTAAAAAAAATCCAACTCAACAAATATTCAAGCCTTAATTCAAAATCACCAAAGCTCAAATCCAAATCCACCCAAGTCCACCCTAGGTACAAAATCCATCAAAATCGAATCATTATGCCAAATTCAACTTCACATAGCCCATCATGAACAGTTTAATCACCATCAAATTTAAATTCAAAACTCAAATTCAAGCTCAATTTCTAGACCAAAATCAATTTCCTATGACCCATCCTAAAAGCCCACCAAGCCAAGTTCAACTTTCAACTCATTTTAACCCAAAAGCCCAATCATCATGACATGAATAATCCCATCATCCATTTGATTAAAATCAAAGTCTATGTCCTAAAGTCCATGATTGAAATTACCTTTTTTTGGCTTCATTGTGACACCCCACAAATTACCTAAAATCCTAAAATCTCTCCTCATGAAATTGCCCAAGCCACATGCAAGCCATGAAGCCTTCTCCAAGCCACATGTGAGCCATGCAAGCCATTAAAAGTCCACCATACAAAAGATGGAAAAAGGAGGGGGTGCTTTAATGATTCCTCCATGGTCTTTAGCCTCTTTCGTGATTCTTTTCTAACCATGATTTAGCCATAATCTCTTGAATGGGGACTTAGCCACTCTAATCCATCTGACTTCCACCAGCCTTAGCCACTATGGGGAGTCACCCAAACCCGAGAGCCAACACATAGCTAAAACCCAAAATTGAGTTCATCCAATGTGGCTCACTCTCATTGAACATTGGTGCTTCTCTGCCCTTCACATAAGTGTCACCTTGGACCTCTTAGCTTGGCCAATTAAGCTCTATGGTTAAGCCTTTAAAAACGACCCCCCTCACGACCAAATAGGGACATGCACAAACCTTGGGGAAAAATCTGCCAAAATCACTCAACGCTATTCTTACACTCTTACAAAGCTCATCTCCATCATTCTTAAGCCCTTAAACCATCCACAAAACCCTAATTTCTCTACTAAAATCTAGGGATTTTTTGGCCATTCCACAAACTTCACCAAAACCCCAAATTGATTGTTCTAAATGCTTCCCCTTACCTCAAAAGCACCTCTTCAATTGAAATCTCCCTCTCCTGATTCCCCCTAACTTAGTCCAAGACCAAAACTGATCCATAATTTGGTCTAGGCCATACCTAGGCCCATCCATAGAGCAAATTAACACTTAGAGGAGGTTCGCTGTGTCAAAACGAACCTTATCAACCAACCCAATTGAGGCCTCACTTCTTGGGCAAGGGTATGGCTTGAAAAATTCCATTTTTGCCTCGATTTAGTCTTTTGTGAAAGAAATGAACAATTCATATCCACCTAGCCATATAGATCTATTTGTCTCACTTAGATGAAGGTGTAGGAACAAACCCATTGAATTTGTTAAGTGTCTTGAGAGAACTTACTGTTTGAGTGTGGACGATTCTCGGATTAGGGCTCATTTGGGACGATGAACGGATATTGCCTATTTGCGTGTACTCACAACTCAGAACAAAGTGCTCGGATTGAGGTGGACGAGAGAACGACACATGAACCGTGAGCCGAGTCAGCGTCTGTGTGGAAAGTGCAGCCAATAGCGGGATGACGCGTGGGATCTTCAAAGCTGTGGAGTTTGCGTTGGCACCCACGTGGTTAAATAGAAAAATCAGAATTTTTTTTTCTATTAAAATCATAAAATGAAATATAACCTTAAAAAATCATATCTTGGTGTAGAAAAATAAGAAAAGTAAAAGAAATGCCCCCGTGCTCAGTGAATAAAGGAGCATCTAATGAACCTAGATTTGAAAATATGTATTCAGTGTATGATTTTTAATTATTTAAACACCCTAAATTTTATTTCAACCCTAATTATTTAAATATTAGTCACCATAGATTGAAAATTTTAAGGCATGTTTATCGTGTGATTAGGAGTGTGTTTTGATTTTTTGAAAGTCAGAGAACATCCATAACCCTAAAAGTTTGAATTTTCATGATAATCACTTTTATAAACTAAAAATATTTCTAAAAATAAAAAATAATAAAAAAAAATACAAAATCAATTCTAATGAGTCCACTGAGCCAGAGGCACTTAGAAAAAATAAAATTTAATTTTAAAATTAAAAGTGTAATTTTCTATCTTTTTTCTCTTTTAAAATGACTAAAAATTGCAAAAATATAAACATATTTAAAAAAAAAAAGAAAAA